GATGAGAGGATTGACTCAGGGACTGGGGTAATGAGGATATGTGTGTCAGAGACAATAAGATTGGCACAGGATAGAGCATGTTTCAGGGCTTTTGTACATAGGGTCACTATGAGTCACAAGGGATCAATGACACATAACAACAACAGGCCTGTTTGTTGTGGGGGTGATGATTATTTGCCATCAAATTGGCCACCAACTCATGGTGATCTCATGCATGATGGAATAAAATGCTACCCAGTCCTACGTCGTCCTTATGCTCAGTTTTAAATTGGAGCTTGTGGACCTTAGGATTTTCATTGACTAACTTTTTGGGAATGTATCACCATGCCTTTTTTCTTGGTTTGCCTTAACATGGAAATTCTGCTGAAATCTGGTCAGCTTTACAATAATATAGACGATTCAGCTAGGACTTGAATCTAGGTCTCCTGCATGGAAGTCAGGTTTTTACTACTGAGCCACCAATGTCCTCTGTTTTTCTGTACCGTCAAATTGATTCCAACTTGATAGGACAAAGCAGAACTGCCCCAAAGGGTTTCCTAGGCAGTAATCTTTACGGGAACAGTTTGCTAGTTCTTTTCTCTCACATAGCTGCCAGTAGGTTTAAACTGCTAATCCTTCAATTAGGAGCTGGGTATGTAACAATTGTACCACTATGTTCCTTCAGGCCCTCAATAGCACCTACTGAAGTGTTAGGCAGAGATAAGTGCCCAAGAAGAGAATTAGTAGTGGGGGCAAGAACTGAATCAAATGGGAATGAACTCATTACTCAAAAGGCTGCTACTGTGTAAATTTCTGTTATTTCCATTGTCACTGAAGGATAGACGCATGGACTCTACGGCTATGTCTTAAAGAATAAACTAGTAGGGTCCTTAAATTTCTTATTTGCCTATTAAGAGATTATATATGAACATGAATACTGCTTTGTGGATGATATCTTGAAGAGAATTTTTTCTACTTTAGAGGAAGCACCAGTTAGTTACATGACACCTTTTAATCTCAGTCATAAAATGTGTAAAAAGACAAACTTTTAAATTGTATTAAGTATTACCCATAATCAATAGATATTAGAAATGTTAAACTTATTCACTATAATATCACTTCAGATGCATTTAATTTTAAACACTGACGTGAGGTAGAAGATTAAAAAAAGTAATATAAAATAAATAAATAAAAGTATTTACCTTTATTCAGTATACTTAATGAAAATTCTCACTCATTGCTTTTGATCTGAAACTGACTCATAACTGACCCTCCAGCCAGTTTTCCGAGACTATAAAATTAAATGAGAAAAGATTGCCCATTTTTATCGTGTACAGTCATTAGTGCATTTGAATTGCCAGAGAGGTGCTACCTTTGGGTTGGCAGTACAACTCCTTATGGACAGGGGAGTTTTAAAAAAGGCTTTCAGGCTGCTTTTAAAGGAGAAATCTAACCTAATTAAAATTACTTCTTCCCCTCTAGTTTTAGGTGTAGAAAAAAGGTGATGATGTTGTTGTTGCTATTATGTGCCATCTCGTTGACTATGACTCATAGGAACCCTATGTGAATCCTGCTCTCTTTAGAGCCAATCTCACTGTCTCTGACACATCTACCCTCATTACCCCAGTTATTGTGTCAATCCATTTCATCCAGGGTCTTCCTCTCCTGCATTATCCCTCAACCCTTCTAAGCATGACATCCCTCTCCAAGGACTGGTCCTTCCTGGCTATATGCCCAAAATATGTGAGATGGAGTCAGAATCCTTGCTTCCGAGGAGGAGCTTGGTTTCACCCACTCTAGGACAGACCTGTTAATTTTTGTGGCAGTCCATGGTATTTTCAATACTGTTTTCCAGCACCACAACTCAAAGGCATCACTTCTGTCATCTTTGGTCATTGTCCAACTCTCTGATGAGTAGCAAGTAATTGTGAAGACCATTGCCTGGATCAGGAACACTTTAGAGTCTAGACTGACATCCTTGTTCTTCAGTATTCTGGAGAGGTTCCTGACAGAAGATTGTCCTAATGCAATTCTTATGATTTCCTGACTGCTGGTGCCAAGAATATTGATTGTGGAACTAAGCAAGCTGAAACTGGTAACAGTCACAATCTCTTCTCCATCTATCATGATGCTGACAGTTGGCCCAGTGGCGAGAATTTTCATTTTCTTGATGTTCAGCTTCAGTTGACATTGCAAACTACAGTCCTTGCCCCTCTGCAGTAAATGCTTCAGGCCCTCCTCAGTTTCAGCAAGCCAGGTTGTGTCATCTGCGTAATGCAGGTTGTTGATGAGTTTTCCTCCAATCTTGATGCCACATTCTCCCTCCGAAAGTCCAGCTTCCCAAATGATCTCTTCTGCATACAGATTGAAAAAGTACAGAGACAGGACAGATCCCTGATACACTTCTTTTCTGATTTTGAACCGTGCAATGTTTCTTTGCTCCATTCTGATGACTGCCTCCTGGTCCAATTAAAGGTTTCTCATGAGCACCATCAGATGTTCTGGGATTCCCATTATTCTCAAGGTTAGGCACAATTTATTGTGATCCACTTAGTCAAACGCCCTTGCATAGTCAATCCAACACAGACATCCCTGATTTATGCTCTAAAATATTTATAAAGATTGTATATATCAGCACACAAAAATTAGATTATGGTTGTTGTTATGTGCTGTCGAGTCGCTTGCCACTCATAGCGACCCTACGTACAACAGCCCTAAACTCGGCCTCTGTCCTGTACCAATCGCACTGTCTCTGATATACCCATCCCAATTACCCCAGTCACTGAATCAATCCACCTCATAGAGGGCCTTCCCCTTCTGCGCTGTCCCTCCACCCTCCCAAGCATGATGTCCTTCTCCAAGGACC